TTACCATATTGATCCTTAGGACCTGGAGAGATTCTTTCTGCAAATATGTATTGAACACCAACATCCAGTGGGTGTTGGAGACCCACGTGACCGTGTAGTTGAGCTCATGGCTCTAGTGTTAGATGGTCTGCGTTTGAATTTGGTTCCAGTATTTGGGGGAACTTGGGCAAATCACTTAAKCTCTCCTAATTTCCTTAACTTTGAAATGGGGATACTGCTTAAACTCACTTGGGGCCCAAGGAGAGATGAAGGGATGTCTTCAAACACTCAGAATAGTTCCTGGCCCAAGGCAGGGACTCTGAAGCATTAGCTCTTATTGTTATTAGCAACAAAGGAGGTAAGACACGATCCAGGTCCTGCAGGAGCTTGGAGTCCATTAGACTTCCCACTTATTGACTCTGGGGCAAGTGTCATTTAGTCGCTGAATCTCAATGTCTTTATCTGTGTAATGGCTCTCATACGCCCTACCTCTCAGGAGAATTTTGTGAATTACTGGGTCCAGAGGAGATGCTCTATGTGTTTGTCATTTCTTTGGTTGACCCGTATGAAGAGTGAAGGTCGTAGGCTGGGTGCCTGCTGGATGTGTGGGGATCAGGTACAGAGTGCCAGGGCCAGGGGGGAGGCAAACAGGAGCACCTTGTAGCAGAGAGACGAGGTTGGCAGAGGTGGCTGGGCTGAGGTACGTGTGGATCTCAGGGGGCCCGATCTGGGGCCCTGGGAAGGGAGAATGGCCTCTGAGTCGGAGAGTTGGACAGGTGTGCAGTGTGGGTGGGTGGGTAGGTAGGATGGGTGATGGGCTCACCCCTGCTCCGAGCCCTTCCACATTCTTCTCCTCCCACAGATTCATCTATGAACTGGAGCACTTCAATGGTGTGGCCGAGCTGCTGGAGATCTTAGGAAGGTGATTGTCCTGGGACCTCAGCTAGAGCTCAGGGTTCTGGAAGGAGGGACTAGGGACCTGGTCACCTGARCCCTGCTCCTCTCTTCTGGCCCCTCCTTAGCATCATCAATGGCTTTGCACTGCCCCTGAAGACTGAGCACAAGCAGTTCCTTGTTCGCGTCCTGATCCCCCTGCACTCCGTCAAGTCACTGTCTGTCTTTCACGCCCAGGTGAGGCCCAGGCTTGGCCCTGCCTCAACAGAACTTCTGACAGAGTCAGGGCTGCCCACAGGACCAGGAAGTGGCCTGACACCGGTGGGATCCTATCTCACCTTGGTTGTCTTCACTAATTCTTTCCACTTCAGGGAGTTGCCACTGGCCCTTTAAGGCCGACCTCAGACATCAGCTCTGAAGCCCCCCCAGGCCTTCCCTCTACCTGCTCTCAGCTCAGCGAAACTCTCCTCCCTCTATAAGCCCAAAGATTGYGATGCGCAGCTCTATTATGGAATCTTTTGCAAAATTTATAAGGGTTGGTTTGCCGAGCGTTTCCCCTGTGAGGTCATCGTGCATTCCCAGCTCCCTGGAGGGTACCGCCCGGGCAGGCTGGCAGTGCTGGGCCAGCAGAGTGAGAGGCAGTGGGTGGGTGAGCCCCTGATGGGCGCCCGGCGGTGGTACCCGGCCCCAGATGACCTCTGGCTTCCYCCCTCTCCCCCCACGCCCGCAGCTGGCATACTGTGTGGTGCAGTTCCTGGAGAAGGACGCCACCTTGACAGAGCACGTGAGTTCCTCTGGGGGAAGGTGGGCCCCTCACTCTGCAGGTCTGACTTTCTTCTGCCTCAACCCCCACAGGTGATCCGGGGGCTGCTCAAATACTGGCCCAAAACCTGCACCCAGAAAGAGGTATGAAGGAGGGCTTTGATGCCCACCAAAGGGAGGTTGGGGGCCATCTCGCAGAGGCAGGTAGGTGTGTGCGTGTCTGGGGAGATGTGAGCTATTGCCACTCTGTCCCCTCAGGTGATGTTTCTGGGGGAGATGGAAGAGATTCTTGATGTCATCGAGCCCTCCCAGTTCGTGAAGATCCAGGAGCCCCTCTTCAAGCAGGTGGCTCGCTGTGTATCCAGCCCCCATTTCCAGGTATGGGGCAGGGACAGGTGGGGTGGAGGCAGTGCTGTAGTCTGGAAAGGTTGGCCCATTTACCTGACATAGTTCCCTCTCCCCTCAGTTTCTCCTCCAGTCTTGGGTCTAATAATAGGGAGATGCTGGGTTTAGGGTCAGAAGATGTAGGGTCAAACCTCAGATCTCCTTCTCCTGGCTGCAGAGCCTTTGGGCATATCACCTCCCACTGTGAACCTGATTTAGGTTTCCTCATCTGTAAAATGGGCCAACAACAGTTTCTTCACTGGGTAGCAATGAGGATCAGAGAGATCATGACTGTAACATGATAAACTGAGCCAGAACAGGATGGAGTATTATCACTGATCTTAGCGGCCTTAGTATTTTTGTTGGTTGTGTTTGTTTCTGATTCGAGATTGAAACCAAGAGTACTGTACCACTGAGCTACATCCTCCTCCTTTTTGAATTTTTGTTTTGAGACAGGATCTTACTAAGTTGCTAAGGCTAGTCTTGAACTTGCAATCCTCCTATATCAGCCGCCCAAGTCACTGGGATTACAGGCTTCATCCCCTTATATTTCATTAGTCCCACTTAAGAACCCAGCCAGGTTTCCCTCATTATCCCACCTATTGTAACTCTTGCTCTTCTGCATGTATATAGAATCTCTTCCAGTCTTTTTAATTTTTCCCCATGGTGCTAGGATGAAACCCAGGGCCTAGCACAAGCTAGTCAGGTGCTCTGGCCACTGACGTACGTCTCCAGTCTTCTCTCATTTTTATGAACCCTAACCCTATGGACGTCACTTCTTCCTACAGTGATTCCAGTAGCTTACCTTCATTAAACAGTCTGGTATTTCATTTCGTTCTTACAGTAGTCCAGTGAAGATAGGTATCATGAGCTCCATTTTATAGATCAGACAACCGAGGTGGATACTGGATTCCTCCCAGGGTCCCATGRGTGGCCTGGAGTCTGTCAGTGAGGATTTGCCTGGGAGTTGATCCCAAACGTGGTGCTGTGTGTTTTTCTCTCTTCACCACATTGTTTCCCCCAGTGGATCAAATGAGCCCTTGGAGTTGGGGATTGTGGAGGTCAAGGGGCCTAGGCTTTAGGGAGGGATGGATGGATGCCCGTCCTTGCCACGCAGAAGCCACTACCAGGCATTTTCTGTACCACTTTTTCTGCCTCAGGTTGCAGAGCGGGCTCTGTATTTCTGGAACAATGAGTATATCCTGAGCCTCATTGAGGACAACTGCCACACTGTGCTGCCTGCTGTGTTTGGGACCCTCTACCAAGTCTCCAAGGAGCACTGGAATCAGTGAGTGCCCAGGCTTTGACTTCACCCTTAAACACTGGAAACACAGCCAACCCTGCCTCTGGGGCTGCTCCTAGCTGGAGAAGATCAGAGACAGTGGCGGAGGATGGCCGAGGGGGTGGTGGTGCATGGGCAGAGAAGCAAGGTGCTGGGTGGGGAACAGGATAGGCAGAACGCCAGGCAGGGAAGTGAGTCAAATTGGTGTTGTAATCATCTCAATCCCCATCCTTGACCACACCAAGAACCATCGTGTCTCTGATCTACAATGTGCTCAAGACCTTCATGGAGATGAACGGGAAGCTATTTGATGAGCTCACGGCCTCCTACAAGCTGGAGAAGCAGCAGTGAGTGCTGGGCATTGGGCATGGGGGAGGAGGAGAAAAGCAGGAAGGAATCTGACCCTCGGGTTGGACCCTGAGGTCTGCAGAAGACCCCCAACCCAGTGTGGTCCGAAGTTCCAAGTCCCTCCCTCGTCCCTGCACTGCTGCCCACTGCGCCGTCCAGCTGTTCTTCCTGCTCTGACGCCCTGCAACTCCTAGACCACAGGCTGGGCGTGTTCTCTCCTCAGCTCTTTCCTAAGCAGGGGGTTCCTCTAGAGTTAAAGGACAGAATATGATTCTGTGCCCCCCCACCCCGTTTTGCAGGGCAGGGTGGAGGATGGAGTGTGGGGGCCTCAGTAGGGGGAGCTGCCTTATCCTCTCTCCCCAGGGAGCAGCAGAAGGCCCGGGAGCGGCAGGAGCTATGGCAAGGCTTGGAGGAGCTRCGGCTACGCCGGCTACAGGGGACCCAGGGGGCCAGGGAGGCCCCTCTCCAACGGCTTACACCCCAGGTGGCTGCCAGTGGGGGTCAGAGCTAGAGAGCTCCCAAAAGGGGAGAAGCTAAACCCAGACCAGAGCTGTCAGTCCCTCCATCCCTTTTCCTGCCCAGGGGCCCAGAGAGGCACACACCTACCCCTGGCCTTGCCAGAGTGGGCTCTGAGGACTCCCTGCCCAGCCCTGTGTGGGCAGTTTTCACTGGGGGACAAGAGGACAAGATGGTGGTCTTGGCAGCAGAACTCTCAGGCCCTCTTGGCAAGACTTGACCAAGGCAAGCTTGGCTGGGAAGCTGCCATCAGGGACATTCCCCTGCTCAGCAATGCAGGGCTTCAGGCTGCAGGGGATACAGCTCTGCCCCCAGTCTAGGACAAGGGCACTGGGCGCCTCGCCTGCCCTTGCCCTGGGCCGGCATGAGGTCCTTCCTCGTCTCCACCATGGGGTCCATGATCTATTTATTCTGCCCTGCGCACCCTCAACACAGGCACTGTCCTGGCCCTGGGGCATCCTCCTTCCCTCCTGTCCCTTGCCCTGTACTTCTTTGTCCCCTTTTTATTTATTGGGCAGGGGGAGGGGCGAGGGCACAGGCAAAGAGATTCACAGTGTCCTGGGGTAAGGGGGTCACAGTAACCATGGTCTATCCTCCTTCCCCTGGCTGGGGGTAGACGTAATAAAGAGAGAAACTGAACAGCTGCTTGCTTTATTTAGGGGTGGGGCATGACGAGGACTGGTTAAGGGGGACAGGCAGGGACGAGGCARAGGCAAAAACACCCCTCTTCTCGGGAGGTAACATCACAAACTCAGGAGGGTTAGAGCTGGAGCAGCTCCTCATTTAAAAAGATTCGATAGCAAGTCACTAGCAGGATGGGAACTTCTTCCAGTGACTAGAAGCGAGAGAGGCGACACATGTCACATTGGCAGGCCCTGGCCGTGAAGATCTCGAGCTCCTGCCTCCGGTCCCCCACACACTGCAGCTGCACCTTTACCTGTGGTAGAGGGGAGCCAGCCACGTTCTGGACCCTCCGGGCCACCTTCGACCCCACCTCCTCTGTCTCCACCTCCCCAGCACCCCTCACCTTCTTCAGGCTGCTGATGGTGCAGCACTGGGAGACGGAGGTGATGTTGTGTCGATAGCCACTGGCCGCCAGCACAGAGTACCGGGAAGGGAAGGCACTGGATTCACAGTGGCCCACGCAGGCCTGTGCCACATGGGAGCCCTGGCAGGTGCCTTGGCGGTCACTGCGCACTGTCACGTTGAAGGCTGAGAGGAAATGGAGCAGTGGACTGTGCCTCTGGGAAGGCGAGCCCCAGCACTCTATCTGTGCCTCCCCGGGCGTCCCTCTAGGGTGCTGCCTGCCCACGTCCAGTCTGTCAGCTCTGCTCCCACCCAGAACTTCCACTCCTAGCTCTCTGGTCCCGGAGTTACTCACGGTGCAAGTGGCAACCTGGGATGGCTGCCTCCTGATCCCAGCCTTCAGTGACTGCCAGGACCAGCAGGCAGATGAGCAGGGCTTGGGGGGACGCCATGGGCACCTGAAGCACAGTGGGTGGAAGTCTCTAAGGGGGTGTGCAGGTGGGAGAGAGTTCTTTAAATAACTCCTGCCTGCAGGTAAGTGAGCCAGAGCTGGCTGGTCTGACAGGTGAGACATGCCTGAGGGGGCTGTCTTTTCTCTCTGCCTCCCTGCGTGGGTCACTCTGGATGGGACTTGTGTGTCCATCCTCCAGCCTTCTGCAGTGATTCTGCGCTGGAATCATCCTCACCATCTGGACTGCAAACATCTTCCTCCCTCCACCTGCCCCATCTTGGCCTGCAGGGCCCTTGCCTGCATCTCCCGCCCTCTGGAGCTCCTCCTGCCTCGGCAAGCTCACCAGCGCAGGCCAGGAACTGCTGCTTGCAGGCTCCGGGCGCCTCCTGCTGCTCTGGAGTCTGGTGCCAATTCTCTAGGCTTTTATTTGCCTGTTTCAGAGCCACGCCCTCTTGGAGATCAGCTTTCAGGCGCCTCCTGGCCTGAGCCCTTGGAGCAGTCCACCTGGGAAATCCTTGCTCTGAGGTCCAGGGCTGGGGGAAGTAAGGTATGGAGAAGAGCCCAGGAGCTGGGGGAGGGTGCAGCATGTGCACCCAGGGAGAGGGCTCAAGACTCAGTTGAGCTGTGGTCACTTGTGTCCTCTCTGCTGTGTGAATTTGGTCAGGACACTACCCCAGCCTAAAAAACTCCTAAAACAAGCCTTGCCCATTTCTTTTACTGACTACAAAGGAAAGAGATTGCAGGAGATTCTTATGGACAAGTGAAACGCCAGTGGGGGGCTCTGGAGCTGGGCTTGGTGGCAGGCAGAGCCATGGGGGCTGGGTCTACTGAGTCCCCTTCAGAGCCTCCCTTCCAGTGTCAGCGGATGTCTTCCACCCTGTGAGCCAGCTACAGAGCAGAGCTTGGGGTAGAGGGCTCTCTAGAATAACAGCAATGGGACTCCCCAAAGAGCCTGAGGCAGTTAATCCCAGGAAATCTGATTATTTGAGTCCAGCTCTGGTTTTACAGACAAGGTTTCTAAGGCTCAGAAAAGGGAAGTTACTTACTAAAAGTCACACAGCTAATGTTAATGTCCAGGCTGATTTAGAATCCAAGTTTTCTGCTGTACTATCCAATAGTGCTAAAATAAACTTAGGGCAAGAATGTGGCAAGTTGGGGAGAAAATACCCTAGTTAGCAGGAGCCAGAGATTGGGGCAGGATAGAGACCAAAAGGAAGGCTGTGGTGGTTCTGGGAAGCCTCAGTCAGGGCTATTGCCTCAGTGACCTACTCAGAAAGAGCAGGCAGGTCACACAGACTGCCAAAGCTAGATGGCCCCTAAGAACTCATCAAATCCCATCCTCTCATTTTCCAAGTGAGAATGTCCCCAAGGCCACACTGTCTGCTAGTCCAGGTCATGATGGGCATTCAGATCTCTAGATTTTGGAGCTGTACCCTTTGTAGCTCTGTCAAGGAGGCCATGTTTGGGACAGTAAGGCAAGGGCTGCAAATACAATCTGAAAGGAGCTGGTGTTATCAGTGTTGCTGACCCTCAGGTCCCCACTCTATCCAGTGCCACCTCCCTCCCACAGCAACCTACCTCTTCTTTTCTCCCCACCAATGTTAGGGGTAGCCAAGCAAGGGGACATGGAGGGACCTCAACAGTCCTACTCCTATGCTCCTACTTTCCCACACAGTGTAGCAACTCTCAGGCATGTGACAGATAATTAGCTGTTTAATGACTCCAGGTGAAAGGGCTCATTACCTCACAAGGTAGCCCATTCCCATACTGGACCCCCCCCCCTTTTCTTTCTTTTTTTGTGGTACTGGGGATTGAACTCAGGGGCACTCAACCATGGAGCCACATCCCCAGCCCTGTCATACTGGACATCTCTAAGAGTTTAAAAAAGTGACTCTTTTGTTCTGAGCTAAAATGAGTTTCCTTAGATTTCCATCAGTTGTTTGGGTTCTCTGAGATCACCCAAGTCTAAACTGTCCCAGACTGGCCAGTTGGTTGAAGACAGTGTATGTGTAGCCTTGCCTTTACCAGGGGCCTACCTGGACTGGCTTCCAATTAATCTGATAAACTAATTTGTGCTAACAACAAGGCACCACAGGGATAGACAGGTGGGAAGCGTTTTATCTGTGGAGAGGCTATTCCTTGGGGCCCAACTTAGTTGGGAAAGAGATCCTTTCTTTGGGGGCAGCAGGGTTCCAGACAGTGAGTTTTGCACAACCTCATTCCCTACCCCTGGCAGTGGAGCTTAAGGTTTGGAATCAGGTAAGACTCCTCCATCCAACGTCATCCTGTAGCCAGCAGCAGGGGTCCAGGGCAAGTTTCATGCATTGCTTCTCTGTATCTTGAGARAAGTTTGTTCTCTTAATCAGCTTCACCAAATGCAATCAATAGCTCTTCATGAATAATTTATTGGCATTAGGATCCTAAGTGCTGGAGGCAAAGGACCTACACTGGCCCTCAGGGCACTGAACTTCTTACATCACAGTATTTTAGAAAGCCCCATTTTTTTCCTTGATGTCTTAACTAAGGAAAAAAAAATTATAAGGGATGAAGGACAAGAAAAACCCACAAGAAGGCTCAGATAGGGGCCATCATCCCCACAACTGAGGTGTTGCTAAGATGCAGTCAGAGGAGGAACAGCTCTGGAGGGGTTGCTGTTAGAGAGGAGCTTCTCCCTGCTGCTGAGTCTGGAAGGCTCACTGGCTGTTCTTTCTGAAGAAATATCGAAATGGGAAGACAGTGCTGCAGGAACAAGAGCAGAGTAGGCTGAGACTAGAGATCTCCTTCCCTTCTCCCCAGTTCCCATTAATGACTCATTAGCCAGGGCATTTTGCTCTGGGGAACCACTGAATGGAAATTCAGGTCCAGAACAGCATTTGAGAAGGTAGCTAAATTAATTACACGAAGAAGGGAGAAATAAAGGAAAAAGAATTGCAAAGGGATAGCTGAACCCTAGACAGGGAGGGATTTGCTAACTGTTCTCCACAAAAAAGACTCTGAAGACAACCTAGGTTCAGAGGGAAGGATAGAAATGTTTTGGAAACTGTATTATCTGAATGGCCCCAGTAAAACATGAATAGTCTCTATTCAAACAAGGTCTGTGAAGCCAGGCCTTATTCCTAGTACATTAGAATGGGGGTGAGGTGCACAAAAATGAATGAGATGGTATTAAATTCCCAGTTAGGGCCCACATCCTCAATCTCATTTCCACAATCTATCCTGGAGATCACTGAGACACTTCTGCAAGTCATCTGTTTTTACTCTCATTTCCCCTGAAAGACTCAATGAGGCAGCTCTGGAGCTAGACCACTGCTTGGATGCTGGATCTCAGTTTGATGGCAGGAAAGAAGTCCTCCTTACCTTAGAAACCCAAAGAAGCCACTGGTTCCTAGCTCTTTAGGTGGAGGTGGGTTGTTTTGCTGTAATGGTGGGACAACTGGCCCTGGCAGACTGTGTTCCTTTTTAGAACCTGTAAAGAAAACACTCAGGCAGGAAAAACATATTGGTCCATGGGCTACTTTCACGCGATTAGGAAACAGAACAGCCTCATGCCAGGATTTCTTTAAGCCAGGTGAATTATTTGCTCTGACCTTTCCAATTTCATCTCAGCTCAATAAGATGCTAGTCTGACCTTGAAGTATTTTCAAAGCCAGGCTCCACAGATATTTACCCAGCTCAACTCCCCAGCTATCCACCAAGGCTGGTATGTTTTCACACAGAATGACAACTTGCCAAGTAACTCACTCGTGTTATATCCTGCTTCTAGGATAACTACAGTCCACACTGAATCATCATGCTGGGTGAACGATCAGCAAGTCGGAAGGGCAATACCTCCATATGCATTCCCAGGTCTTGCAGAGCCCCCGTCTGTGCCCTCAGTGTTAATACTAATACCTGAGGGGGAAGGGAGAGAGAGCTCCCCAAGATGGTTCTCCAGTTGCACAGAAAAAGGAAATACATCTCTTCCAACTTTTCTATAACACTTCCCACCTTATTCTGAAACATTTGGAGGGGCTGGGGTTGTGGTTCAGTGGAAGAGCATTTGCCTAGCATGTGAGAGGCCCTGGGTTCTATCCTTAGCACCACAATAAACAAATATAATAAAGGCATGTTGTCCATCTACAACTACAAAAAAAATTTTTAAAAAGAAACACTTTGGAACTGCAACTTCACTATCAGAAGCAGAAGAAGGGGGCTGGGGCTGGGGCTCAGTGGTAAGTCACTTGCCTAGCATGTGTGAGGCACTGGGTTCAATCCTCAGCACCACATAAAACAAACAAATAAAATTAAGGTATTGTGTCCATCCATAACTTAAAAAAAAAAAAAAGAAAGAAAGAAGCAGAGGAAGAGCACGCATTATTGCCTCCCTCACACCTTTGGGAGCTGGGAAGGGGATCCTGTTACTCCAAGTCAGTCCCCCTGGAGGACAATCACTGGTGCCTCTAAGGGTGAGAGGAACACCACACGGAATGTGCACAAACTCAGAGCACTAGAAGGGGTAGGACTATTAAAGGAAGGTAAATATGAACTTCCCAGAACCTACCCTGTTCCTGGGCATCAGTGGTATCAGAATCTAGGTTCGCCTGCCATTCCTGCTGGGGTTTTCTTTCCTTGTTCTGGTAAAAAGAAGACCAAGAAAAGTCCTAAGTTTTACTCCTATATGGCTGGTGATCTGACTTGCTATTTTCTGATGAACTGATTTCACATCAGCACCGGGGCCTGGCTTCTGGCTGCCCAGGCAGGTCTGAGATTCCCTGCTATAGTACTGTCCTTTTTCATTTCAGCTCCCTAACCATTGTCTGTCTAAAACCACAAAATTTAAGAGCTGAGAACAAGCCAAGCTGGGCTTACCTTACTGTTCCCTACTGTGGAGAGTGCCCACTATTACTGACACAATATCGAGGCTTCAGAAACCAGGACAAGGGCTGGGGATGTGGCTCAGCGGTAGCGCGCTCGCCTGGCATGCGTGCGGCCCAGGTTCAATCCTCAGCACCACATACCAACAAAGATGTTGTGTCTGCCAAAAACTAACTAAATAAATAAATATTAAAAAAAAAAAAGAAACCAGGACAACCTTACCATTACCTTGGAGAACTGAATAACTGTCAGATAAAACTGACCCATAAACCACGTGCCACAAGACAGTATGCTGAAGCTACCCCATGAGTCTCTAGACTGGCCTGGTTGCTGGGGAGGACATGAGCAGAGTGGGTGGTGGTTGTCAAGGCTTCATAGGGAGAGTGACGTCTGGATGGGGCCTGCATGGATGAGCGGGATTCTCATCTTGGGGGTGAGGATCTGGACAGTGAGAGCACAGCACTCTGGACAGGGACATGATGTAAAGGGCACAGTAACAATAAAGAGTAAACGCAATCAGCATGACTAGTGCCAGGCCGGGCAGAAACAGGGTGATGGCCTTAACAGCCAGCACAATACAGTGCAATCTTATTATTTCTCCATGTGCCACAGCCTGATAGGAATTCCTCTGCACTCTGAAGAAGACATTCTACAACTGGTTTCCAGGACCACAGCATTTCTCAGTAAACACCCTGAGAGTCAGAAACATGGTGCATATATTTTCTTTGGGAATGTGCCTGAGAGAGTCCAGCAGAGCCCATGTTCTTGAGCTGTGACACTGTGAATTCTAGAGCAGAATGGGCTCAGGGAGGCAGGCTCAGGGAAGACCTCAGGACATGCAGGACTGGCCCTCCACCCCAACCATAAACTTCAGGTTAGAACAGTAGATCTTTATGAGGTGAGATTCTTCACAAACCCCTCAAATATAGTCCATAGTGGCAGGCCCCTAAGTCATATTCCCCAAAAAGTGACAGGGAACTCTAGAAAGAAAGGACATAGACCATTCTTACTTTTTCTAGACAGAGTGGTGACAGGATTTAGAGGCCCTGGCTCTGGTTTCTGGCTTGAGGAAATAATTCTTACAAGTTTGATGAAACGATGCTCTGGAGCTTAAATTTTGCTATATGGAGTAGCCCTAGTAGAGTGGCATCTATTAGGGCTGATACAGGGACCAGAGGGCAAAGGCCTGGGGACAGAGGTAGAGTCTGCTCCAAGCCAGGGAGACAAGACTTGTGAGGACAAGACAGAGGCCTTTGTGTGCTCCTTTGTGATCTTGAGGGACGTTTTCCCAGGCAAAGCTGTAAGAGAGAAAAACAGCCTGAAGGAGACTGAGGGTTTCATCAGGGACCTCCAGTAGAACAGCACGCTGAACCTCTATATGTCCAGGGTTGGATCTGTCGAGAAGTGGCTTCAGTGGAGGGGGAAACAAGCTATGAGCACCAGTCCGTTTCACTTCTAGGCCATTTCTCTGTTTATCCACACCCCCACTTCCACCTTTTTTTTGTCCTTCCAACGTCTGGGTCTCTAGGTGTAGGGTCTGAAGGACCAAAGGGAAGGGATCTACCTTTCCTGCTTATTCTTCCCAAAATCCAAAGCACCGTTCATGAGATAACTGTTGTATTCAGCTAAGCTCTCCCTGTGCAGGTTCCCAATGTGTTTAGGCATGCACAAGTTGCACTGGCTGAGATCCTGTACCCTAACTTCCCCCAGAGGGGAGAGAAAATATCAAGCATTGGACATAGGCACAAATTCAATTTTTCCAGCTCAACTGACTTACACTGAGAGTCACTGTGATCATTTTAATTTAGGAGAAATCCTCTCCCTGGGAACAGGGTCTGTGATGGAGGCTGTCTTTGGGCTTTGAGTCAAAATCAATAAACATGCTTCTTTTACTCAGTTTTTTTTCTAAACCCAGAATCAGGTTGAAAAGGTAATTATGTTGAGTAAGAAGCTGTGGGTACAGTTCTTGAGGGAGATGATGTGTCAAACTAAGAATAGGAAGGTACGAAGGGTAGGGAGTGAGGGAAACGTTCCTTTAATAATAATTATCTTGGTTGTATAAAGTGTCTTTGTTCCCCAGAGCTTCATGTACTCTTCTTGTACTTTCCCATTTCTTTCTTTTCTTTTTTTCTTTCCTTTTTCCTTTTACCTCTAGAAAGGATAGGAGGTAAAGAAGGGGGCGACTTTCTTCCCAAAGTCACTCAGTGGGCCACTTGGCTATGGCACAACTGGGGCTTGTCCTGGACCCCCAGAGGCAGAGGGCTAGAACCCTCCCCAATGCACATTATAAACTCCTGGAGAGAAGAAGCCAGGTTTTACATGTGTTTGTATGTGCTCTAGCAAATAACATAATATAATATCTTGCAAACAGGAGACAGAATAATGGTTTAAAAACGTAAATTGCAGGATGGGGGTATATAGCTCAGTGTGAGACCCAGGTTCAATTCCCAGTACTGCAGAAAGGAAGAAAATTTCTTTTAAAAATGTTTTAGGGAGGGCTGGTGCTGTAGCTCAGTGGTTGAGTACTTGCCTTGCATGTGTGAGCCACTGTATTCGATCCTCAGCACCACATAAAAATAAACAAAATAAAGATATTGTGTCCATCTACAACTAAAATATTTAAAAAATATTTTAGGGAGTTGCACATCTATAATCCCAGCTACTCAAGAGGCTGAGGCAGGAGAATCACAAGTTTCAGGCCAGCCTGGGTAATGTAGCAAGAAACAGTCTCAAAATAAAAAGTAAAAAGGACTGGGGCTGTAGCTTAGTGATAGAGCACCCCTGGGTGCAATCTCCAGTACATAAAAAAAAAAGAAAAAGGTTTTAGGAAATTCTTGTGATCTTGAAGGTGACCTCAAAGCCTTCCATGATCCTGCTGGCCTGTCCAGTAACATTTCTGGTCCTGTGTTCTAAGCTCGAGGTGGGCTGGCTGCAGTCACCAAACACCTGCACTCTTCCCTCTCAGCCAGAGCTCTTTCAGTTCCTCTGAGTTCCTCTGGAAACCCTTCCTTCATGGTCACTTTGTGTTTTCTTTGTACCCTGTGCTTCCTTTTCCCCTGCACATGGCCTATCTATAAGTAACTATCCGCCTGGCCTGACACTGCTGGTGTTTTTAGGGGAGCACACGGTATTCCTGGCACTTGGCACACAGCAGACACAGTGAAAATTCGTTGAATTCATGCACATGTGCTCCATAGCTGATCATGTTATAGGTCCTGGGAAGGTGAAGGAAATGAGTTGGTAGTGTTTGGAAACTTAGGGTCAGAGCTACTTTGGACACATGAAGTGAAAAGAAAAGAGGAAAGATCTATAAGGCAGGTATAACAGCTAATAGCTATTTAAAGAGGGAAAGAAATGTAAAAAGGCACTGCTTTAGGGCTGGGGTTGTGGCTCAGTGGTAAAGTACTTCCCTCACATGTGTGAGGCACTGGGTTTGATTCTTAGCACTGCATATAAAAAATGAATAAAGTCCATCAACAACTAAAAATAATATTTTAAAAAATGGGCACTACTTTAGAGACTATTATGAGAAAAAAGCCTTGAAATGGAGGAGAAGCAGATATATGAATATTCAAATGGGGAACAGACTCCATAAGTAGAATCAAACCAAATGGTCAGGGGCCAGCACATCACTGCTTCAGAGATTTTCTCTTACCAATTTCCAATGCTGATAAATGTCTAGCTCATCTGTTAAAATTAGACATTCCCAGACTCAGACTCCAGTGTAGATGAAAGCAAAAAGTTTTCTAAAGAGAAAGTTCTACCCTGGATTCCACCTCTATTTAATACAGACCTATTTTCTTACTTCAACAGGAAAGTACAAGCAGCTGCTTTCTAAACTGAGAAGAGAGATGTTTTAACAAAAGGATTCATCCACATGTATATTATGCAGCCACTTTGGGGATGGGTTGTGGCAAGGGGGAAATAGCTGAAAGTGTTCTGCAGACAGTGAAACCTGAGAATGCTCTCAGTCAGTTCTATCTGCAGTAACGGGAACCTTGCCCTGCAGAAGAGCAGGAGCAGCCAGGAACCTCAAAGCCTCCATTTTAGTGCTCACCTTCCTGGTTTCCATATGGGGCTTCTTTTTGCTGCTTTCTTGACTAGAAGTCCCTATCTTGGCCCTGAGTAGGGGAAAAAGCCCAGAAAATGTTACTGGCAGTGACAACATTACCACGTTCTAGCAAATGTGGCCCAAATGAATATTTCAGCAGGTTGGCTATTTTTATACCACTCCTGGCTGGCAGGAAAAATTGTGTGGCCAAATTTTCTTTGGGTGCTGTTTTAATTCACAGTAGAATCCCATTTGAGACACTTAAGGATATGAGGTTTGAAAAAGGGAAAATGTGACTGACAGTAGGTTTTTAGATTCTGAGATACTTGATTGAGCATCAAAACCCAGAGAAAGGGAAAATCTGAGGCCTCATCTCTGTGGAAAATTCATTCAAATGGAACACAGCAAAGCTTCATTCCCTCGAGTACCCTCACATTGCCCTAGGTTGGAAAGGAACTCTTAGCTCTGCTCTTCCAACGTGTACACCTGGAAGGCACAGGGCAGCTCCTTTGTGGTCTACTCTAGGAACCCACATGGTCCCAGGAAAAGAGCAACTGCTTTCTTTGAACCCGGGTGAAAGCTCTGTGGGCTGGGCAGCAAACCACACCTTGGACTATTCCAGCAGGCCTCTCTGGGATGCTAATAAGGAAGACCAAACTATCTTACAGACTCCTTTTATCCCTGAGAATTAAATGATCATAAGTAGCCTTCACAATAGCAACTTCAACATTCCACCTCATAACTGATGTACTAAACATTCCACCAAGAAGTGATATGTAATAATTGATACTTCACCTAATAATTGATACTCACCCTAATAATTGATATAAACCCTTTTGCAAGCATTTATATTTCTCTCTGGACTACCTTTAAGGTTCTAAGAGCTTGCTGCTCACTAAGTAAAACAGAATAATTATATTTTATTTTATTCTCTCTTTTTGTTTTTGGATAATGTTCTGACTTCATAATTTCATGCCCTTCGACTGGGCCTTCTATAATGCTGCCATAGTAAGCATTCACTTGTAACAGGGGTTTACTTGAAACTTACATGTTTTTTCTTTTTCCCCAATTTTCTTCTCCCTGATCTTCTCCTTCCTGATCTCTCCTCCCTAATCTCATTTTTTCTGAGTCACCTCTTTAAAAGTCCTCTGTTCCTGAGGATGGGCAGAATCACAGCCTTTGGAAGAGGAAATCCCCTGTGTTTCTCTTTTGTTAACAAAGCAATAAACCTTTTTCCTTTTTCTCAAGACCTTGTTTTCATTATTGGATTGGTGTCAAGGACGAGGACCAAGCTTTTGGTTATATACTGACTGCACTGAAGTCAGTTCTACAGATCCAATTGTATTTCCTCTCAGCCTTCATCTTGAACAGAACAATCCTACTTTACTGAGAAAGGGAATGTGTTCAAATTACATCATAAATATCAACTCGCTTCCTTTCCTTAGCCCACTCACTGGAATAGGCAGGTACTATTGAAACCCCCCAAAAGAAAGTGATTTGCCCAAGAACAGAACCCACTGCAGCCTAGGTGGCAAAGCCTGCTTAGGAGGAGTCAGCCTCCCAGACCCTGCCACTGACCTGTGCAGCCCCGTCCTGCTGGGGGAGCTTGGCTCTTCCACAAGTCCTCGTTTCCTCACGGAGGCTCCTGCTGCTCTCTTCTCAGTTAGAAGCTTCAGAGAAGAACCAGATTTCTGTGAGCCTCCTTTTCCAGAGTGTCTCACATTCAAGAGGGTATCATGGAAGGGCGCTCCCCATCTTTTTTTTTTAAATATTTTTTATCTGGACACAATGCACCTTTATTTTATTTATTTTTATGTGGGTGCTGAGGATCAAACCCAGCACCCTGCATGTGCTAGACAAACGCTCTACTGCTGAGCCACAACCCCAGGCCCAGGAGCTCCCCATCTTTAACCTGCCAAAGGCAACTTTATTTTTTTGGCAATGCTGGGGATGGAACCCAGGGCTGCATGTTAGGCAAGTGCTCTACCACTGAGCTACAGTTTCAGCCTTCAAAGGCAACTTTTATCAACAGTTTTGTAGCAAAGATAGATAGATGTTCTGTTAGAGACATGGTCTCTGAAATCTAGCCAAGGGGACATATAGGGTCTACAATTCTGCCTACAATTCTGATGGGACCCAGGCAGTGACCAATCAGCAAAGTCTGAGGAAGTCAAAAGCAGCACTTTGGGGAAAATGGGAGGTGATTACAGTGATTTTAATTTTGTACAAAAAGGGTAAACTTACCAATCCAAGAGGAGTRTCATTTATTGGTTTCCCTACAATAGGAAATTTAAATGTCATAATGGATCAAAACTTGTTTTGCCTAAATTTCTGGCTACTATTTATTTCTCAGAATTGGCCTCAGACAAAACCTCCCCATGTACCCTTCTCCCTTCCACCTGGCACCACTTTCCCTAAAACAGTATCTTCAAATTCTCCTTCTCCAGAAGGATTGTCATCTACAAGTTGAAATGGGTTTGATTCACATTATATTTAAAGATATATCACTTAAAAGGGGATAATCCTCATTATAAAAGAAAAACTGTGACTTTAGGCATCAATGACAAATGAACTAGAGAGATACTTGAAGCAAGGCCTTTGTACCCTTTTTAAAACACACTAGCACGTGTTTTCTTGTTCCTCAATAAATAAAATTAGCCATGGCCCTCAGAGATTAAAAACTGGGAGATACCTTCAAGACAACCCTAAAGTGAGTCACTGGATACTCAAAAGTGAAGAAAGTGTTTATAGAAGACTCACCTTCTATTGACTCTGACTTTGTATATTCCACCTCTCAGTATTTATATCGTCAATCTTTTTAACAACTCGAGAAGTGGTACAAGTATTTTTCTTCACCATTTCACAAAGGAGGCACAGAAAGACTAATTGATCAAAGGTCATACAGCTATTAAGTATCAAAAGCCACGGATCTGAACCAGGCTTTGGAGAACGTGATCCTGGCTTCTTCAAGGCAGTTGGGGCCCAGTCTGCAGACCCTTTCACCATATTCAGCTTGTACTGCTAATGGCTTTCTTCTCTGCCACCCTCAGTCCTCTCATGCTACTTACCAGGTGACAGGTTTTCTTGAAACCATTTCATCTCCACATATAGAGTGAAAACAAAAGGGTAGGGGATCAAGATGATTTCTCCATGTTTGAATTTCAGGTGGGAAACTCTCTCCCACTTGCTTTTATCTGGGAAATGGTGCTAAGGAGTGAGGACAGATGACAACTGCATTCCCTGAGGACTACTTTAGGGACTAGATTCCCTGCCCCTTTCCATGACCCACCCTCCAAACTGCATATGGTTCTGTTGTTTCCACTGGAATCTACAATGGGAGCTATAGCTCATGATAGCCAGAAAAGAAAGGATACAGGGAAACACAATGAAGTGTTCTGTAACAAAGGGCTGCAGATTGTCCAAGTTTCCCAAGACTGCACGGATGGAATCCTGAAAAAGATATGTGAAATGACTTCAATACTGTCAAATCTCATCCAATCTTTCCATTTATATTTTTCACTGCTTCTCACATACCCTGTCTTCTAACAAAACTGAACTATTTTCTATTCCCTAAATGTGCCTCTGTCTCTCCACTTCTGTCCTTTTCCTGTTCCCTCTGCCTGAAATGGGCTCTCTACCCATCAGTACACCTGTACATATCCTACCTTTCCTGTAAGGTACAGTTCAAAAGTTATCTCCTCCAGAAAGCTTTCTCAAGTTGTAATTAACTGTTGTCCCAAACTTCACAGTAGTTAGCCTGGGGCCTCTATTACATTTCACATACATCATACACACGTTTTATTTTCCTTAATAATTGAAGTTGAATACACAACTGATTTATCTTAGCATCCCTTCTCCGGTATCTACCATAGGAGGTGATGCAGAACAAGTTCTTAACAAATGGATATGCAAATGAATAATACCAATATTTATCAATATATAGTTATTTTGCTTCTGCTTAAATCAAACCTTTTCTTCTACTCTCTTTAAATCTTAATTGATTAGTTTCTAGTTAACGGTGATTGTTAGTTTATGCTAATTAAACACTTGGATATTATAAAAAGACTGCTGGATTTCTACAGGAAAAAAGTGAGGGCTGGGGATGTGGCTCAAGCGGTAGTGCGTTCGCCTGGCATGCGTGAGGCCCGGATTCGATCCTCAGCGCCACATACAAACAAAGATGTTGCATCGGCCGAAAACTAAAAATAAATAAATAAATAAATATTTTAAAATTCTCTCTCTCTCTTAAAAAAAAAAAAAAAAGTGAATTTTAGTTCCAGCTCTGTCATTTCACCTCTCCAAACCTCATTTTCCTCCTGTTTGGGCTCTCAGAAGTAAGAAACTGTGTCATTGGCTGGGCGCAGTAATGCACACCTATAATCCCAGTGACTTGGGAGGCTGAGGCAGAAGGCTCACAAGTTCAAAGCCAGCCTCAGCAACTTAGCAAGGCTCTAAGCAACTTAGTGAGACCCTGCCTCAAAAAAAAAAAAAAATATATATATATATATATATATATAAAAGACTGGGGATGTGGCTCAGTGGTTAAGTGCCGCTGGATTCAATCTCTGGTACCCCTCATCCCCCCMAAAAAAGAAACTGTTGTTGTTTATCTTTGTATTCTCTGTAGGAGCATGGTGTCTTGCTTATAACAGATAATTTTATTCAATAATTACTATGGCAAGTGATTGTTTATATATAATGTATCAACTTAACACTCCTGAACTCTCTATGAGATAGGCAGCTCTATTATTCCCATTTTACAGATAAAGAAACAGAGATAAAGAGAGGTGAAAAACACTTATTCAAGATTTACCCAGTTGGTCTTCGAATATTCTCGCTGTTCTGATTTTTGTAATAATCAGGGCAGGCTAAACATTCGCTATATTAAGGCCATGCATGGTGTCCCCAGACCTAGTTCTTTCCCTGGGTCTGGTTTTATAAGTGCTGGTGATAAACCCAATCTGATTTACAATATGACCATTTTGTATGACCATATTATGACTATGATTCTACATTATCTTGATCCACCTTTTGAAAAATGACAGTACAGCTAGTGGGGTAACTTGCAAATAATCAATACTAAGTTGCAGACTTGTCTAAAAGAACATGTAAACAAAATACAGAAATTTTATTACTACCAGTTGCCATTAAATGTATTGTAAAATTACTGTTTTTATTTTCTAGGTGATTCTGATATCATTAGAAGCATGCCAGAACAGACTGGTGAAAAGTAAAACGTGTAAAATTTTTCTTTAACAAAACTTGGCAGAGTGTGTTTTAAAAACAAACAAACAAACAAACAAACAAACAAACAAACAAAAGATTTACCCAGTTGGAAATGATGGAGCCAGGATCTAAGCCCAAGCAGCAGGGCTTCAGAGCTCACACTCTTAACTAGATAGAGTTAATAGACTAGATCACCTCTCAATAAATATTCGTCTACAATAAATAAATGAATGCAAGACAGTGATAATACTGCCCCCAAACTAATGAAAGGAAGACAAAGAGAAGATGTAAAAAGCACTTTGAAAAAAAAATGTTTTGTTTTACATTTTTTAGTTGACAATAGATCTTTATTTATATGTGGTGCTAAAGGATCAAACCCAGGGCCTCACCATGCCAGGCAAGTGCTGTACCACTAAGCCACAACTCCAGCCCCCTGAAATTCTTTTTTTTCTTTTTTTTTTTTTTTAAGAGAGAGTGAGAGAGATAGAGAGAGAGAGAATTTTTAATATTTATTTTTTAGTTTTCGGTGGACACAACATCTTTGTTTGTATGTGGTGCTGAGGATTGACCCCAGGCCGCACGTATGCCAGGCGAGCGCACTACCGCTTGAGCCACATCTCCAGCCCCCCCTGAGATTCTTAATACAATATAGAAATATATGTAAATACTCTCTGGCTACTACTTATAGGGCTGCTGGTAGGCACTGCACACATCTATTCCTAATCCTTACCACAATCTTGAAAAGAGGCATCACTTATTAACCTTATTTGATAGGTAAGGGAACAGACTTAGAAAGAGTAGGTAACTTGCCTCAAGTCACATACCTAAGTTTGAATAGAACAACTAGATTTCAAATTCAGGTTCTCAAGTCTGTGCTCCCTCCACCCACTATGCTGTCTTGAGATTTTCTCTGTCCAAATTAACTGAAGCAAAGTAACATAAAGTTTGCTCTGCTCAGAATTTTAAAAAGCAGAAAAATTTCACGGTTCTATATGGAAATAACTGTTATTTATAATGATGTCCTTGAGGCCTTGTAAAATCCCAATGTATCTTTTAACATGTAGCTTGAGAGCCACAGGAACTTTTAAGGCTATGACTTAAAGATATGCTTTCTTGGAGTTCTGTGGTAAAGTGCATTTAATATATTATAATTCTTTGCAATGTGGAAGTACATCTTAGTAAGTCACTTGTCCTAAATCCCTGAGTTCTGAAGTTAGAAGAGGATAAATGAGTTCTGACCTCTTGTTTTACAGATGAGGCAATTGGAATCCAGATTGGCAAATGATCTGCCAAGGGTCACACTGTTTATTAGTGTGACTAAATCAGGACTAGACTCTAAAGCCCCCAGAATTCCAACTCATCCAATGCTTTCACCAATTTACAAAACTGCCCACCTGCTCAGTTGTCTTTTGGCTGGAAAGCCTAAAACTAGAGGAGTTGGGTAGAAAAGGAATGAAAATGAAATGGGAATAAAGCAACTGCAAATGTTTCTAATTAAAATAAAGACAGCAACCTTATCTATGTATTTACAGTTGAATTTCCTGGACGTCAAGTACCAGGCAGTGGTTGGGGTAAGGTTTCCCAGAGTCCTGGAAGGTGGCAGGGCTCCAGAAGTCTTCTATGTGCCGGCCCCCACAAAAGGGTGTGTGTGTGTCTGGGAACTCTGGTGGAAACAAAGTAACTCTCAGCCTCAAAGGTGCTGACAATTCAACTAGAATTGAGAAAGGATATGGGCTTTAAATTTTCCTAGAAAAACAGTAAAGTCTCTTTGCAGAGGAAACGTAGGAGGAGAAGCCAAGTTATCAAGTGGAGTTTGTGACTCAGTTTATAGGAAATAATTAGAAGTCTGGATGTGGATGTATCCTTGGAGGAAAGAATAACTTTCCCAGAAGTTGTCTGCTTCTTTCCTCACCTCCAGCTCCTGGATGATGACGTCCTTATTTTCTATCTCTTCTCCTCTAGAAGGTAAACAGATAAATGATGACTAACAAGGAAAGCTCTGGCAAGAACAGATTTTGGTCTACTCTTTAAATAGCTGAAGAGACAATGATACATAACAATTGTGTGTGCTGAGGCTGTTGCTCAGGGGGAAGAAGTGATCACCTAGGTGGTGTGGTCTGAGCATGGTAAAAAGTTGTACCAAAATATCTTCTCGGTTGACCTGCCGAGATCTGAAATCCCTGCTGTGACAGCTAATAATTCATTAGTCCAGTTGCCCTCCAAGCGTGGTTTGGGGGATCCTAGGGGTCCTCAAAAACTTTTTGAGGTGTGTCTAAGAGCAAATCTACTTTTATACTACTACTAAAATGTTATTTGCCTTTACAATTTTTCATTCATACATTAATGCAAAAGCAACAGTGACAAAACTGCTGGTGCCCTGGCACAAATCTAGCTAGCTGCACTAAGCTGTACCAGCAATCACAGTAATTATCACTGCCACATGGGAGAAAAAAATCCAGTTTCATGTAATACCCTTGAGAATGCAATAAAAAATAATTATAGAAAACCTCAACCCTTGACTACATCTCTTTTTTTTATCTTCAAACTTATATAAATTTATTTTAGCTGATATATAAAAACAAAAATTGTACTTATGTGACATTTTGATGGGTTGTACAGTGTTTAAATCAGAGTAAACATATCCATCTCTTCATTTATCATTTATTTATAGAGAAAACATTCAAAATAACTTCTTTTAGCGTTTTGACATACATAGTACATGACAGTATCTTTTAAAACATGTTATGTGATAACACAGGAAGTATGCATAAAGTTTTTCTTTTGCTTACCAGAATTTACCAGGTTCAATATATAATGGCTGACTTGAGGAAAAGCACTCATGTGATTCTTTAAGTTGTCAAACTGAATGAGCTGCTTTTTCCATGAAATTATTTTACTTGAATGATCAGCTAACAAACAAACTATGGTTGTTATTCAGACTTGGGAGTTTGATAGACATTTTCTCAAAAATGAATAAAGTAAGTATATCAACTCAAGGGAAACAACTGACAGTATTTGTTGTCAATGGTATATCTGGGGCTCTCAAGAGAAATTTTGAATTTTGGAAAACTTCTATTCACCATTGTAAGTTTGACAGTGTCAATCTGATAAGATTGGTAGTGACATTAATTTTTTTTTATATTATATAATGAAATGTGTCAACTTTTGGAAGATCTGAGGAAGTCAGTGAATCAAAACTTTCTAGGGGCCGGGGTTGTGGTTCAGTGGTAGAGCACTTGCCTTGCTTGCGCTGTAAGGGTACGGCGAGAGACCACCCAAGAGACTGACTCCATGCAATTGGCAAAAGGGGATTTATTAGGGATCCATTCCAGCGCGCTGGGACTCCGTGCTTACTCAAGAAGGGAGAGCAGCCCRGAGCCCAGAGCAAAGGTCAWGCAGAGCTTAAGTACACTTTTTGGAGAGGGCGGTGGGCTTTGCACACATCATCATGAGGCGCGGGGGAAATTGAACAACAACTCTGAGACATGATTGGCACAATCATTGGTGGGAACAGGTCGGGCGGGGGTGATTGGTCATTAGTAAGGGGGTTACACATTCAAACTGATTGGTTTGGGCCCTGTGACAACTGCACAGGGCCCTAGGCTAAACGGCCAGTAGGGCGTTGTTTTAACTATCTCAGGAATCTGGGTGTAACAGAGGAACTTAATAATACCTAATCTTTTACATTCAAGCTTTCCAGCTTAGAAACTTTACCCTTTCAGCGCGAGGCACTGGGTTTGATCCCCAGCACAACAGAAAAATAAACAAATAAAATAAAGGTACTATGTCCATCTAAAACTAAAAAAATATTTTAAAAAATACCAAATGACCAATGGAATTCATCATATTATAATATCATGCTAAATACAACATTCATTCAAAAAAAAAAAACAAGATAGGCCAATGGATTTTAACATAAGAGTTCAAAAAGTTCACTGTTATAATTTCAGATTTCACATTGCAACTAACATTAAGGGGAAAAATACCCTACCATTTGAAAAAACCACAAACTACCACTTGTCCATGTTTTTGTTTTTGTTTTGTGGTGCTGGGGATGGAACCCAGAGCCCTGTGCATGCTATATACCCCAACTCAATCAAGTTTAGATGTAGGATCAAAGAAGAATATCTATGATGATTTGAAAGGGCTATTATTATGTTTCTACCTACCTTTCCCAACTACAAATTTATGAGTTGGTCTTTTTTTTTTAATATCAACAAAAACAATGCAACAGACTGAATGTGGAAGTAGATATGGTAATACAGCTAACAGTCTCAGACACTAATATATTTGCAGAAATGTAAAATGATGCCAATCTTCTCACCATTTTTTTTCACTTTAGAAAATATTTTAAAATAAAAACACATGAAAACTTCATGGATATATTATTTTAAAATTAATACATTTAACAAATTTACCATTTGTTCATTTTGAAGCATATAACTCACTGGTATCACTTCTACAATGTGGTATTGTAACAGTGGTCCATTTTATGCTTTGAATATAGTCCCTGCTGCCCTGCCCCTGCAATTTATTTTAAAAATAGACATTTCTTTCTCTTCCTTTCTCTCCTCTCCTCCCTAATCTCTCCCCCTCCCTAATCTCAAAGGAGATAAGATTACCTTTTTCCGCATCCCAGGTAGAGTTATCTGTCCCAGAGTACACACTCACCACAGGAATAAAGTAATCCAGATTTGGGGGATGGCACCAGAAGATGTCAGAAATGACTATCTCCCAAATTAACAAGTGAATTGCAACTCCCACAGAGAACGTGTGGAATATAGCCTTTAAGTCACCTCTTTAAAAGCCCCCTGTTCCTGCTGATGGGCAGAATCACAACCTTTGGGACAGGAGTCCCTGTGTTTCTCCTTTACTAGCAAAGCAATAAATCTTTTTCCTTTTTCTCAAAACTGTATCCTTGGGACTGGGATTGTGGCTCAGCGATAGAGCGCTTGCTTAGCATGCGTGAGGCACTGGGTTCGATCCTCAGCAACACATAAAAATAAAATAAAGGTATTGTGTCCACCTACATCTGGAGAATAAATATTTTTAAAAAATGTATCCTTGTTATTGGATTGGCACTGGGGACAAAGATTGAGCTTTCGGAAACAGTATGACCATCACTACTATTTCCAAAATTTTCTATCATCCCAAGCAGAAACACTGCTCAAGCACTAAGTCTCCATTCTTCCATCCTCCCAGCCCCCATGTCCTCTAATCTACTTTCTGTCTCTGAATTTCCATTTTATACAAATGGAATCATACAATATTTGTCCTTTTGTGATTGACTTTTTTTTTCACTTAGCATATGCTTCAAAAATTATCCTCCTTATACATATATCACAACTTCATTCTTTTTTGCAATTTCTTTTTATGGACTACAGATAATCCATTGTGCATATACACCATTTTTTTATTCATTTATTCACTGATGGACACTTGGGTYGTTTCCACCTTCTGGCTACTGTGACCAATGCTGCTATAAGCACCATTTTACAAGTTGTCCAAGTCTCTGTTTTCAATTCTAGGAGTATAATTGCTGGTCATATGGTAATTATGTTTTAAATTTTTGATAAACTGCCAATCTGTTTTCTATAGCAGCTGCACCATTTTACATTCCCACCAGCAATTTACAAGGGTTCCAAATTTCTTCACATCTTTGCCAACAGTGTTACCTTCTGCTTTTTTTTTTTTTTCAGCCATGCTGGCAGGTATATTGTGGTTTTGATATGTATTTCCCTAGTGATTAATGATATTGGGTATCTTTTCATAAGCTGCTGGCCATTTGTATATCTTCTTTGGAGAAATGCCTATTCAAGCCCATTGTCTGTTTTCTAGTTGGATTGTTTATTTTTCTGTTGTTTAGTTGTAAGTGTTCTCTATATATTTTGATAATATGATTTGCAAATATTTTTTTCCATGCTGTGGGTTGCCTTTTACTCAGTTAGGTACTTTTTATTAGATCCAAACCATAACAGAGAATCCTATAATATGCTAATCCAACAACTGGATGGCAGTCTCCTGAACAGAATGAAGACAAAGAGGGGATGAGCCTGGAAGAATATACTAATTTGGGCTTACACAGGCTACCCTCCTATCTTGAAAATTACCTGATGCTGTTGCCATATCTGATTTTAAATTTGTACACGTTGGGTCCTGCGTGAAGAAACCTCGTCTCTGGAAATGGGTAGGTAAAAGGTTTTAAACTCATTGCTTCCAAATGGTAGCCTAAATGAAGTAGAAATAATAGAAAATTATTAAAAGGGAAAATATTGTTCCTTGCATATGGGAAAGGGAGCTTATTCAATCTGTAGTATCTCTTCTCAAGTAAAATGCCCAACACTTAGTACCATTGCCCTTGTACCAGGCTCAGGTCTGCTATTAGTCATTGGGACTATTCTCCTACCTGCATGGGGAAGATTCATGGTGTGTTGGGATATCTCTGCTTGAAAGCAAAAGACCAGAATGCAAGTTTTGTTGTTTATCTTATGGCCTTGTGCAAACTACTTCTCTTCCATAGACTAATGATGCTAACATCTGTCTTGATTATTCACAAAGTTATGGTTACGATGAAATATTTCTCCCAAATATTTCTCTTTTTTTTTTGAGAGAGAGAGAGAGAGAGAGAGAGAGAGAGAATATTTTAATATTTATTTTTTAGTTATTGGTGGACACAACATCTTTGTTTGTATGTGGTGCTGAGGATCGAACCCCGGGCCGCACGCATGCCAGGCAAGCGCGCTACTACTTGAGCCACATCCCCAGCCCCCAAATATTTCTCGAATCTATTATCCTTCCCTATTCCCACTTCTCCTGGAACCTAGGTGGGTATGAAGAGGCTCAAGTTAAATAATGAGATAATTCAGAGGATACATCAATAATAGGCATAATGAGAAGGACCTCTGCCATTAATTTGAGATGAAATTAAGGAATTAGCACAGCTCCCTGACACAGCCAATGCAACAGATAAGGATGTACACACTAAGGTTTCCCTGTCTTGTAAGAAATCCCTGCCTCTCAATTATTCTTCCTCTCTATCACTTGTGAGGCTTCCCTAAGCCCCAAGAGTGCCTACTATACCCCTAGCACTACTACTTTTATTTTTCTAATTCCAGAATCTCTGACCACCTAAGTTAAATTCCACAGGGAACTCAGTAAAGGGGTAAGATGATATGGGGAGGGTAGCACACTGCTTCTCCAAGAAGGCATCTGCATGTGCTCAAAGGTACACTGTGATTTTTGTCACTAGGGCTTTGTTGTGACACTTTATAGAGATAATAAACCTTGCATTCCTTTTGTCTCTTCGTATGGAACTTTAAATAATGAGTAGAGAAAGAGGTCTGGAATTCTAAAGGATCAAAGCTACCTGTATACAACACAAGGTATTGATTTTAGAGAGAGCTGAGATAGAGTAAACAGAATAGGTACAATGTAAGATGAATCTGAGTTTGAATCTCAGATCCAGTGACCCCTTTAATTTCTYTGAGCCTTGGTTTTCTTACACAACAATAAACAACAATGACTTTTTTCCTTTTTTTTTAAAGTCAGGGGTTCACTGTATTGTCCAGGCTGCCCTGAACTCCCTGGGCTCAAGCAATCCTCACACCTCAGTCTCCCAAGGAGCTGAGATTATAGGAATGTACCACTGTACCCAGCTAACAACTTTTGTCATGCCCTATTCTAATTGCTGTATATATTATCTTATTTCATCTTCACAAAAAAATTATGAGCTAAGTAGTCTAAGTTTTATAAATGAGGAAACTGAGGCACTGAGAGTTGAAGTGACCAACACATAGCTATGAATATTGGAATCTGGATTCAGACTTAAGTATAGATCCATTAACTACTCTGCCAGTGGACTATCTGGGGAATATTAGGAGGAAAAACAAGTTAATAAACAAAATAATTTTGCAAGTAGTAAAATATCATTCACACATAAAGGACTATTTCCATTATTCTTCCTTTCATATTACCCTAATGTCATTTCTACTTTGCAGGGAAAACTCTTGTATGTTGAAGTCAGCAGCTCTTTGGGCCCAAAGAATGGAATTTCCCATAGTTTCCAAAGTTTAAGTCTGGGTTGCCAGTAAGGAGAGACTCCAGGGTCTGATCTCGGCTCTGTGGGATTAGAATGAAAGGAGAGTGGAGCCAGAATTCATGGGACTATTTAGACTAAAATTGCAGTCAAAACTAAAAAGTAGTTGATGCCAAGTCCAAAGTCGCTGGAGTGAAAATATTGTTTATATCCTAAGAAAAAAACTTGCTGATGCCCTTTGTCCAGGGTATAGCAGGAGCTCAAATCTAGATTTGATAGAATTTTGGTGCCAAATGAGTTTTCTATGTAGTAGGCAGGGAGCCACCTGGTGAGACTTAGTTGCTGCCACAGAATTTTAGCCCTGTTATTCAGAGTTCTTCCAAGATGTAGTCACCTGGGGCCTGGGGGCATCAGAGCAAAAGAAATGAAGAACATTTGCTGGATGTGACAATCTAGAGAGGAAATGTCACATGCTACACCATAGCTGGCTGTTTGAAAGAAGAAAAAACAACCTACTTCTAGCTGGGGCCTGTTCCTGTTAATTGCTGGCTGCCCACTTCAGAAACAAACAGCACACGCTAATTACCTCATGTGAAAATAAAGATTAGACAGCATAATCCAAAACAACAACATAGTAGTAATGGTTCAAAGATTTCACAGGATTATTTTCCAACATTTTTTACTGTAGCCATGGTGACATTATGTCCCAGTAATTGAGTTGATATTACCTTGCAGAAAAAGGTCAGATTCTAGACCCATTTTTAGGTGACCACAAATCATGATGGCTTTTAAGCAAATGAAGAGAAATTATAGAAGAATGGGATGGTGCAAAAGACATAAGATTTAAAATTGGAAGACCAAGGCTTAAGTTCTACTTTTGCCCCTCATTAGTCATTAGCAAATCAATTAGTCTTTTCATTTCTTAGTTTCTACATCTACAATGGGAATTGCACCTACCCCTGGACTGTTGCAGGAATTAAATAAGATAGTGTGGTAAGCAGCTACTCCACAAATTCCAGAGTATAATATAAAATACCAGCTATTATGATAGATTTGAAGAGTTTCTTTCTGAATGCTTTACAAGAAAAGTGAATCCAAGAAAGCAAAGTTGATTAGCTTTAACCTCAGTGCAAAATCTGACAAATCCCAGCCTAGAATCTTTCCTTGAAAATACCCAAGTGGGGCTGGGGATGTGGCTCAAGCGGTAGCATGCTTGCCTGGCATGCGTGCGACCCGGGTTCGATCCTCAGCACCACATACAAACAAAGATGTTGTGTCCGCCGAAAACTAAAAGATAAATATTAAAAAATTATCTCTCACTTTTTTTTAAAAAAGATAAAGATTCATCAACTCTAAAAAATCTTAAAAAAAAAAGAAATTACTCAAGTTTTAGATTTAAAAGACACATAGAGCCAGGCATGGTGATCACGCACACCTATAATCCATTACTTGGCTGAGGCAGAAAGATTGCAAGTTTGAGGCCAGCCTTGGCAATTCAGTAAGACCTGGTCTCAAAATAAAAATTAAAAAAGGGCTGGGGATGTAGCTCAGTGGTAAAGTGCCCCTGAGTTCAATTCCTGGTATCAAGGGGAAAAAAAAAAATGAAAGTAACAACTTCCACAAAGTCACATAATCCAGTATGGACCCAGGAATAGTCCCTCAAGATTGTCAACCCTTCTGGTCTCTGCATTTTCCCATTACAACCTATCACCTTGTCATTTTAATCTACAACCTGTTCACACTCATGACTAAGGATGATCCCAGGCAAATTCATTCTGGACAAAGATATTGAAACAAAATATGAACTTTTCTGATGAATGGTTCATAGGATTATAATTTGGAATGTAAACTCTTATATTCACATTTTTTGTCTTCAAGCTCCATTTTCAAAAGGAACTATTCTGTTTCTTCACAATGCAGGGTGATAAGGATAACTAATAAAAATGTATAATTGCTCACTGAAGTACTTAGCACATAGGTTACCCAATAAGGAAGTCATATGTGTGTATGTGTATATATGTGTATATGTAATATATAACACATATAATATATATACACACACATATATGTGTATATATTTTGCATGGGGGGGGCGGTGGGTACAGGAGTTGAACCCAGGGACTTATTCTTGCTAGTTAAGTGCTTTACCACTGAACCACACCCCAAGCCCAAGAAATTTTTTTTTTAAACAAAGCATTAAGATACAAGACAGAGATTGATGAGGCTACTTCCAAGCTTACTGACATCATTCTGTTTTCTCAAAGGTTTTCTCCCCCTTTCTGGTAAGATGTAACCTTTAAAATGCCACTGGCATTTGTGCAGGAATAGATTTGCCCTTGGACCTGTTTCAGGTTTTGTTTGGGGGAGGAGGGAGAGTAATTAAACTTAATAGGAAGAGAACCCTCACATAAAATCAGAAGGTCTTAGTGGATATCTCAATAAACCAGAAATGAATCTAAATTAACCTCTTAAATTACTCTTCACACCTAAGTGCATCTTCTACTTCCATCTTAACCCTAAAAGTTAATGAAAAACTTGCTTTGGTCAATAGATCCAGGATTGTGCTCTTTATCCAAAAAAGCAGTGGTTCCTCATCTCAAGACCCACCTAGCAGTTGTGACTTGTCACATGAAAATCATCAACCACTGCATTAGCATTCACACCACCCTGAACTCACTAAGAATCCTACCAACCCCAGGAACCCAAAAGGCATTTGGATGTAAAATTGCAGGCAGTGAGGGACATTTTATTTTATAGTTATACCTCTGGGTGACCTGCCCTGAAGGATTACATGTAGGGAGAAGATTAAAAATGAACAGGAAGGGGGGCTGGAGTTGTGGCTCAGTGGTAGAGCACTTGCCTCACACTTGTGAGTCCCTGAGTTAGATCCTCAGCACCACATAAAAATAAGTAAAATAATGGTATTGTGACCAACTACAATTGAAAAATAAATATTTAAAACAAACAAATAAATAAATAAAAATAAAGATATTGTGTCCATCTACAAGTTTTTTAAATGAAAAGAAAAAAAAGCAGTATCAATAGTTTCAAAAGGGCAAGTGGTGGAAAGAATATCCTCAGTTGAAGAGAAAGGAAGCATCTTTTACAACGTCGAGCTATAAACTGAGCCTATAATGTACATACCTCAATAGTCTTAGTGGCAGAAGATACAGGGAAGTGTAAAAAGAAGCCTCCAACATATACTTTATTCTTGGCATGAAACAATGGTAGATTCTGAGGAAATTAATAAGAAAACAAAGTGCTGGGTGAAGTGGGGCAGGCATGTAATCCCAGGGACTTTGAAGGCTGAGGCAGAAATAACACAAATTCTAAGCCACCCAGGTAATTTAGAGAGACCCTGTATATTACCTTACAAACTGACCTAGACTCAACATTAGCTGTAATTCTTCATATTTTACCACTTCAGCATAATGAATTAGGCTAATAATTGAAAAGAAACAGAAAGTTTTGCACTCTGAAAGGCCATTAGACTACAGGGATCTGACAGCGAATAGGGCTTACCCAGGAAAAAAACAAAACACAACCCTCTTTCTTTCTTCTTTCTTTTGCAGTGCTAGAGATTGAACTCAGGGCCTCATACACACCAGGCAAACGGTCTACCACTAGTTACACCCTCAGCCCCCCGCAATATCTTATTTATAAAGCACTTTTAATTTATACATAATGCTTTCAAATGATCCAAAATTTTCTACTGAAGTAGGCAGGGCAGATTCAGATAGCACTTATGCTCCATGCTCAGTGTGTTGTTTTTTTTTAACTTTTACTCAAATTTGACTATTTCAATCTTGTGTTCATTTAACATTTATTCCTTTGGTTCACAAATACTTGCATCCCCACTCTGTGCCAGAAACTAAGAACTGGAGGTAAAGACAATAATGTCTTGATCCTTGCCTGCAAAGAGCTTACAAATGGTTTTAACAGCTACATACAAAGAGGGTGATGTGGAAAAATCAGAGAATCCTAACATACACTGGAGTCAGGGAAGCCCAGTGTTTTTTGTTTTTTTTTGGACTGGGGATTGAACTCCAGGGGCACTCAACCACTGAGCCACATCCCAGCTCTATTTTGTATTTTATTTAGAGCAGGGTATCACTGAGTTGCTAAGTGCCTTGCCATTGCTGAGACTGGCTTTGAACTTGCAATCCTCCTGTCTCAGCCTCGCGAGCTGCTGGGATTACAGGTGTGTGCTACCACACCCAGCTGGGAAGCCCACTCTTAAGGGATTCATTTCTGAGCATCAAGTAGAGAGGCACAAATGGTGACTAGGTATGGGGTCTGGGTTCCAACAAGAAATAGCATGTACAAGAGTCCTCAGTTAGGAGAAAGCATGGGACACTCAGAAGTACAGTAACCTGGAACATAGTGTGCACGTGCTGAGTCAGATTAGCTGTGAGTTAGTTGTCATACAGCTTGAGAACCTACTGTGCACTGGGCTCTGTTCTGGGAACTGATATAGTAGGCAACAAGAGAGATGTGATTTTTCATCTCTAATGGCTTACATTAAAGGAGGTGTGGAGAACAACAATAAGCATACAAAAATTTAAATTATTTGAGCAGTATGAAAAAAACATATTTTGTGGATATGTGTGTTGGTACCATGGATTGAACACAGGGGCACTCCATTAAAATGGCCACATACCCGGCCATTTTAATTTTATCTTGAGATGGGGGTCTTGCTAAGTTGCTGAGGTTGGCCTCAAACTTGCAATCCTCCTGCCTCCACCTTCTGACATGCTGGGACTATGGGGATGTGCCACCTCACCTGGTTTATAATAGGCTTTTAAAGTAGAGTCAGTAGGAGACTGCTTTAATGTGGCCAGTAAGGGATTTTCAGAGATCACAAGAGACGAGGCCATAATGGAAAAGAAACAACCATGCAAAGATCAGGAGAAAAAGCATCCCAAGTAGAAAACACAGCAAGCACAGATGCTCTGTGATGGGCAGTTTAAGGGACAGAAAGGTCAGTGTGACAAGAAATTAGAGAATGAAGACAGAGTAGAAGGAGACAAAGTCAGTGTGTTAGGCAGAAGCCAGACCATGCAAAGCTTATAAGTCATTGTAAAAAGCCAGGAGTTTATGCTAATAAAGGGGAGAGAAATGGTTTGTTTTAGAAATTACATAAATATCTGGTTGCTAAAAGGAAGAAAACTGTAAGGCAACAAGATCAGAAACAGGGAGATCAATTAGGAAGCTGCTGTAGTATTCTAGGAGAAAGATGCTACTGATGTGGACTTTGGGTTTTATAAGTCATGGTTGAATTTGAGGTGCATTTTACATTAACTCATAGATTTTTATGGGACTCTAGGATGACTCTTAGCAATTAGCTGGATAGTGGTACATATCCTTTACTGAGACGGGGAAGATTCTAGGAAAAAAAGATTGGGGTGCAGAATCAATAGTTCTGTTTTGGTTAAGTCTGAGAAGCTCTATTAGACATCCAAATGGTTATGATAAGGAGGAAGACTCTTTGTGTGCAAGGGATGGAAACCAGGATGGAAATATAAATTTGAGTCATCAGTGTTTAGAAGGCATTTGAAGCTACTGAAATGGATGAGATCATCTAGGAAGAAAGCAGAGAGAAAGGATGACAGCCTTCCTCATAAGCTGAAATTGTGCAGTAGATCCTAAGAGAAATCAGAAGGCACTGAAGGGAATAAAAAAAAAAAAAATGACACATCCAGAAAGCTGTTAATGTGGGAAACAACCCAGAACAAGAGAGGAGAGGGGACCAGCAAGGAGACTCTAGCAGCTTCAGGGAGAAGCTTACTGTGGCTTGGCCTATGGTGATATAAGTGGAGATGAAGAAAGGTGGATCTGATTGGCAAGATGCCTCGGAAGATGCCCAATTTGGTGACTTCTTGGGGAGGTAACAGTCCACGGTGACTCCCAGTGAGCTAAGTGACCCCTCCTAAAAAAAAAAAAAAAAAAAAAAAAAAGCCTGGGAAAGTTTATTGTTGTTTTCAGTTCTTGGCAGTGCTTGAACCCACGGCCTCAGGCATGCTAAGCACTTTTCCTACCTTTGGGCTACACCCCTGAGGACCAAAAGCCAAATGTGGAGGGGAGGATGCTGAGTTCACATTTGGACATGCCCAGCTTCCAGGTGCCCACGAGATACCGTACACTGTTGGGCACTGTGGTTTCCTACCTGCAGGCCTGCAAATGAACTAGAGATGAGGGTGGTCAGCACAGTGCACCGGCCTGCATCTTTCTGTCTACCCTTCCAGATGCCAAGATTCTACCTTTTCAGCCCGCTTCCTGGGAGCTGAACGAAGATCTCAGGGAGAACCATGACTCAAATATTTACTTCCCAGGTGCAATCAGGCATTTGAAAGCCAGAGATTCATTCGGATCATCAAGACATGATGTGACAGGAAACGTTTCAATGGAAGAAGTCTCATGTTCATGGCAACTGCTAAGCCTGACTTAGAGGGTGGAGACGGATCAAAGGAGCCCTTCTCCAGGCGGGAGTTTCTGGGTGCGGGGAGCGGGGGGGGGGGGCCTCGGAGGGCTGGGTGGGCAGCAGCACGCGGGTCCCTCGCCAGCCGTGCCCGCGCTGCCCACGGCGCCCTGCAGCATCCCTGGGGCGACAGGGTGACCTGTCAGGAGGCTGCCGAGGGTGAGGCCGCGCCGCGGGAAAAGGAAAGAGTCACAAAGCCGACCTCGCGGGGGGCACCGGGCCGCGGGCCATTACCTCAGCCCCCGGCAGCTACGAGCTCAACCAGGCTCTCGCGCACTGACTAGGCGTCCGCCGCGCCTCAGGAAAGTGGCCACGGACCGTGGAGTATCGGCTAAGAAACGCTCTCTGAAAAGGGCGGACGCCGACCTCGAGCCAAGCCACATTCGACGATCAGTCGCTCAGGCGTCCGCCCGGCCCTATGCGCATGCGCAGCTGGACATCTCACCCCACCCACGCCGGGCGCGCCGTGATCGCGGTCTGCGCGTGCGCCAGCAGAGCCCCTGCAGGAAGCCCAGCTGGAGTTGCACGTGTCCCACCTGTCAGATCAGGTAGTCCAGACACGGTTCAGTTGCTCCTAACCTTATCCACCGACTTTTTTGTGTGTGGTGTCCGCAGTAYTGAGGGTTGACTCAGGGGTGCTGTGCTACTGAGGCCACATCTCCAGCCCTTTTTAAATTTTGAAACCGGTCACACTAAATTGCSAAGGCTGGCGTTGAACTTGCAAACTGGCATGCGCCGTCACCCCAGCTACCTTGCCTGCTAGGTCCCTGTCGTAGAAGTGGCTGCAGGGGGTGGGGTGGGGAGCTCCTGTGTGCAATGCATTGTGCAAGTCACCGCCTGTGCCTGTTGTCTTTTAATCCTCACCATCGTGCTCTAAGGCAGAACTTAATGCCCCAATTTGAAGGACACCCAGAAATGGGAGCACAAGGACTTGAACACAGTTTGTGTGATTACAAAGACCAAGGAACTTTCCCTTCCACTTCCTATTGATAAGTTCTGACTGTGTTGTGACTTACCAAGTAATTCCGCTCCCACGTCCGCTGGGTGTGCAGGCTTGGTGATGACGGACCTGTGCACTTGGGTGATCTCTGCAGCCACATATATAAGCCCGTGCGGTTTCCTCTTCGTGGACTGCCTCCCCCTACCACTTTATAAAGTCCTACTCCCATTCCCAGGTAGTAAATGTTGTATATCTTTTTTTTTTGTTGTTTTGACCACAAATGGTCCTGCCCCTGGCAGGCTGTCCTCGCCTGATAAGAGGAAAAGGTGAGAAGATAAGGGTGGAGAYCACCAGACTAGATGTTTTGAACCCCAAGGTAAATGATATCATGGAGAAATCCTGTGGTAGCTGATAAGTATTAGAAGGGAGGGTGAAAAGCCCCCAAATTTAATATAAATAATAGAGCTAATGATTAGGGATTCAGCCAGCCGAAACAAGGATGCAGTCTAGCTGGAGAGCCTAATGAGGACCTGGACTGACATCCCATTACTTGTCATTGTTTCCTGACCCTCTGTGTGATCCTCACTGCTCTCCAACCCTACCGCCTCCTCTGGACCTTGGTGAGAGCCACGCCTTCTCCCTGTGGCCCTCTCCTCTACTGGTCGGTTGGGTCGTCCACTCCATGCAGGAAAAGCCTGCCTTGGTTCTGGACCTGGTCACCGTGGTCTGAGTGAGTGTGCATCTGCTGGACACAAAGCCTAAGGCTTAAGACTTTTGAACTTAGCCTGCAGAGGAAATGTCTGTCATGAGCCTGTCATGATTAAGTGTGTTTGCAGTGCTTAGAATTAATCTAGAATTATTTGCTGTGAATTGATTATGTCTATCTATTGCAGTGCCCAGCATTAAGGATTGTCGTTTTCTTGATTAAGAACCTATAGAGTGAAATGGTATTGAGTAATTTGAGTGAATAAAGCATTGAAAGGGGCAGAAGCGTGTAGAATTCTTTATTTCTCCCTTCGACTGCATACTTCGCAATTTTGCCCCCTCGCCATAGCAACTCCCTGAAAAGTGATGTACACTGTGTGCACTGAGGCTAATGCAGTTGTGGCCAGGGGCAGCTCCTGGGTGTGACCTTGCCTGGCACAGAGTAAAAGTTGCCGAAGTCAATAGGACTTGGGTCTCAGCACAGGACAATCTCCCAGCCGCTGTTGGGTGTGTGTCACTTGTAGTCATCATCCTGGGAACTAGAAGAAGGACCCTTTTTGGGTGGGTGAAGGACTCAGGCTTCTGAATACAGTATTTAGTTTTAAATGTAAAATTATTTGGGATGTAAGAAAAGCAGCAGGAAGGGGCTGGGGTTGTGGCTCAGTGGTAGAGTGCTTGCCTAGCAAGTGCGAAGCCCTGGGTTTGATCCTCAGCGCTACATATAAATAAAATAAAGGTATTATGTGCAACTACAACTAAAAATAATTTTTTTTTAAAGAAGAGAAATGAAAGCAGCAGGAAGGGAGACCAGATTGGAAAGTTACAAGTAGTTAACACCAGAGTATGGAAGAGTCACCACCCCTTGACAAACAGGAGGTGAGGGGTAAGGGTCTGGCCTGACCAGCAGAAACAGAGTGAGTATGTGCCAAGATGCACTCACTCCTAGAAGGCTTTCCCAACCACAAGAGAACAAAGGGAGGTGGGGACAACTATTGGCATCAGATCRATATTGGCCTCAGATTCGCCATTTTAGGTCGGGAGCCATTGTATCTAGAGGCTCCAAAGTTTGGATTCTGAGGCAAAGCTGCTTAATTTCCCATAAGAACATGTGCCCGCTAAATGATCAGCCCCACCCCAGCTTATGACGCAGCTCCTAAGCAGCTTATGAAATTCCTCTTGCGGGCTATAAAGCTGCCCCGTGAGTGCCCACATGCTGCTGTTCTCCTTGGAGGGCCAGCCTTGTCGGTTTGCCTTGTGCAACTGACAATAAGTCTCTTGTGTGAGTTTCTGGTGTGTGGTGTGGTCTTTGGACTTTGTGTGGACTATACAAGTGTCCTTTCAACACCTGAAGGTACATTTCTTTAAATAATCCAATAGGAGACAGTAAAGACCCCCATAGTACTTAGCAATTGAGGGACCTTGCACACTAGGGAATAAAACGCTGATTGTCACTGCTCCGGCTGTGCGTACTCACCCAGGCACGGATCTTGCAAGACCATCATTAAAAGCCTCGTTTTCTCTGTACCTTCATCTCTAAGTTCATTCTTTAGATGTGGACGGGGGAGCCTGCGTCTCACAATCCGCCTACCTGGATGCTACTTGGGCCTCAGATGATGAAGGGAAAGATGGTGATTCTTAAATGGCCACCTGTGTGATGTGTGTGACTCTGAGGAGAAGTGGCCCCTGGCAGGAAGTGACCTGCACTTAGACCTGCACTTTTATTTCCCACCAGCCTGGAGGGAAATAAATAGACTGGGGATTCTGACCAGAGGGCATTATTACAACCCCAAATAACCAATCCTACTTTCTGTCATCTACAACGATGTGGTCTCAAGTGACATAAAAGAAACACATCGACACTTAGAATAAGATTGAACCAAAGCACCTCCTGGCAGACACCAACCATTACTCGCTGCAGTCCAGGGATGAGGGCTGCCCCTGTGAACCCAGGTGGCTTTTCAGTCCATGTGGCCCACCGCCATTTGTCATGAAGCCATGGCTGCTTCGTGGGGCTCTGGCTGAGGGGCAGTAACAGGATGCCACTAGAGGGAGAAATTCTCACTGAAACAACAGGAGATCCTTGGGCCAGAGAGTGGCCAGGGCAATACCTGAGCAGGAATTTCAGGTGGGAGTACCAGGTAGGGAGTAAGAGCAAGGGAGATTATTAGAGAAGGGAAGGGCTGGAGTAAATATTTAAGAGAATAGATTCTGCAGTTTGGAGCCAGAGAGTTAAAGGAATAACCAATATTTATTCAATCAACCCAATATTTATTGAATAACTATTACTTACCAAGCACTGTTCTAGGCCCTGGGGAGACCATGGTGAACAAGACAGAGTCACCTGCCGTCATGAAGATGACATTGAGGTCAGAGTCCATGGGGAGATTGGTGGTGTGATCTGTCCTCTGATACTGCCTGGGGCATCAGCCAGACATAGAACTTGATTTGTGGGCAACTCAGAAAGGGTATTAGGTCTGGCTGACCCTGCTTAAGAGGTAGAGGTGGGACAGACACTGGCGACCACAGATAAGACATGGGGAGGGGCCCCCACTTCTGGGGTCCTTGTCCCTAGGGAAGCACTTGATATTTTCCATTGATTTTTTTTTTCCGCAGTTCTAGTAGCTGTGTAATGTTATCCTGGGGTAGATTTGCCTTGTCCCTAGGGATTCTTTTTTCTATAAACTACTAAGAAAGTTTTTGAAGTTTACATACAGAAATAGGGTGAGGATGTCCCAGAACACAGGTTTAGCATGCATGAGGCCTTGAGTTGAATCCCCAGCAGCGCACGGACACAGTGACATTCAGAAAAAGACACTCTTTTCAATATATAATTCTATGATTTTTAACGCATGCCAAACATTTTTAGCACATCCTATTCAAGGATAGGTAAAAATAGAGAATAGTTCCTCCCGTGAATTCCCTCAAGCTGTCCATCTGCAATCAGGAGATGGGCAGGAGGCCCAGGAAGGATAGTCCAGTCCTGCTGCATCTGTGTATCTACAAGAAGTGCAGTTACTGTACCCCTATCCCCTGGCAACCTGGATATAGCAATAATCCAGTCCTTTTTGTTGCAAGTGGTATCTGTTATATGGCTAGTCACCATTTGGTTGTCTATTTGCATATTTATGGACATTTAGGTTGTTTTCTAGTTTTGGCAATTTTGAATAGAGCTTCTCTCCATGTGCACTTACAGATAAGCATGGGAGCGCATACTTGTAATCCTGGAGGCTCAGGAGGCTGGGGCAGGAGGATCGCAAATGTGAGGCCAACCTCAGCAACTTAGTGAGACCCTGTATTCAAAATAAATAAATAAATAAATACATAAAAGGGCTGAGGATGTAGCTCAGTGGTAAAGCCCCCTGCGTTTACCCCAGTGACACACACACAAAAGGCACATGCAGGTTGTTGTGTGGACTTCTGTCTTCATACTTCTAGAGTAAGAGCCTAGATATGGGACCCTGGATTAGATGGCAAGTGTATTTTTAACTTTATAGGAAACCATCAAGCTGTTTTCCTGAGCAGCTGTACCATTTTGGGTTGCCACCAGCAGAGTGTGAGAGTTTCCATCGCTCTGTGTCCTGGGAAGCACTTGATATTTTTCCATTAATTTTTTTTTTCCGCAGTTCTAGTAGCTGTGTAATGGTATCCAGGGGTAGATTTCATTTGCACTTCCCTAAAGACTCATGAGGTTGAGCACCTGTTCCC